CTTTGTAAAAACTTCAATTGAATTTCAATAAAGTTAAAGGCATGGCCTTACTGTTAATATTTAAAAAAAAAAAAATAAAAATAAAAACATAAAGTAAGATTACTACTTCAAATTAAAAAAAAAGAATATTAATTAATTTATTTAAATGTTTTGTCTTTATAGCCAATAATAGTAATTTGTTATAAACTATAAATAAAATTATTTAAATTAATTTATACAATATTAGAGATAGAATTAGTAAATTTTAATAGCAAAAACTATTAATATTATATTTTAAAACTGGTAAAAGATTATATCCAAAAAATTAATTTGTGATTAATTATAGATAAGAAGAATTTATTTTAATTAAATATTATCAAATTTATAATTATACAAACTGGACTAAAAAAATAAGGTTTATTCAAAAATTTATATAAAACAATATAAAGATAATTTTCTGTTTCTTATACAATAATTTTAGAATTCAAAAATAACTATCTATTTCTTAAAAATAAATTTTATATAAAATTATTTCTTAAAAATTTTTTTTTATTTATCACAATTTGATTTTTTTTGAATTTAATATTTAGTTTTCTTATTTCCTAATTATATCAATATTTAAAAATTTTTTCAAATAAAGTTTCAAAGATTTTTTATTAAAAAAAAAGCTTAAACAATAATAATAATATAGAATGAAAAAATAATAATAAGTTTAATGCTTGCTTTGTCTTGCAAAGCATATAATTTTAATAAGATAGTTGCATAATACAGTTATGCTAAAAACCAGAAATAAAATTTACAAATAATAAATTTAGCATTTTATTAATATATTTTAAAGTATTTAATAGACATTATTAATAATTAACTCATATACCAAAAACAGAGTTTTATAGAAATAAAATGAAAAATATAGTTTACAATTATGTTGATAATATAAATCTTCAAATTTATATTTGATTGATTGTTATAATAGTAGATCTTTTTTTTTAATTTTTGTAAAGATTTTTAAATTTATTCTAAATTGTATACTTCTTTTTTGGTTTACTTGTTTTTTAGTATTATTTAATATACAACAAACTACAATTAGTAAGTACAATATGAATACTATAAAATAAAGTCTAGAAATAAATATTTAAGTTTTCATTGTAGTGAACTTAATCTTTAAAACATTATAATATTATATATTAATATTGTTATTCTCAAAAAACTATAACTTAGTTGCTTTACAATACAAAATCTTATGTAATGTATAATAAATAATCTTTATAAAAAAGGTATTAAATTTGGCTAATAGATGATTAAGACCTTTAGTTATTTTGAGACAATAAAGACAAATAAAACGAGTTACATAATTAAGAACTTGAACAAACAACAAAGTTTATGGATCTTATAGAGTTTATACTGAGTATAATATAGTGTAATTATTATCAATAATGTATAATATTAAGATTTGTTATTTAATAAAATAAACAAAATACTCTCACTTCTAAGATCCATTTCAACCTTTATTTATATTATTGATTTTTGTTGCTAACATATATAACTTTATACTTATTATTTATTAAAATATTATAAAACTATTTACAATAATTATCTAATATTTTAATTATATTTAATTTGTTTTTACTTTCTTTTCTTATTTCTCATTTATTGCTTTGTATTTGATATACTATTTTTGATCACAAATATAATTTATTATACTTATTGCACTTCATATATTTTTATATAATCAATCACAATATTTCAATATCACAGTATTAATGATCTATAATTGATTTTTTTCATCTCTACTAGGATTCTAGATTTTGATAAAAATGAAAATCAAATATAGGTTATTAATACTAATACATAATATCATAATGTTTTAAGGATCAAGTTTATTATAATGAAAACTTAACTATTCACTTTTAGGTTTTCATTCTGCAATACAAGAATGAATGTTTACATGAATTATTTATCAAAATTTGTTATTTTTCACATATAAATTCATCATACATATAGATCAATAATATTATTGTTCTGGAAATTTGAGAGTCTGTTGCTAAACTAATCCAACTCTTGCATAAACTATGATGATTAAGTTGAACTAGACATGTTAGATTTGGCTGGTAGTTTATCTATAGGTAAGTATTTGTCTCTTTTCTTTGTGTCTTTTCTTTAACCTCTTCTCTTACTAATCTAATCTTCTTTTGTCTACCTCAACCCAAGATTACACTATGTCAAATCAAGGTTGAAACTCTTCTATTACATTATTGGTCTTGTCATGTAATTTGCAATAAGTTGTTAATGATGAGTTAGTAATTTATAAATGAATAAACAATATAGACAATGGTAAGGTTAACAGTGATTTATTAGTTTATTATAGCACTTATATTTATTATGGATTAAATATTTATTGATACTCAAAGATTTATTTGCAGAAATACTCTTTATTTATAATAAACATCTTATTTACATTCATAATCAATTTATGCCATAAATGCCAGATATTTCTTATGCTCAATATATGTAATAAAAGACCAATATGTCATTTAATGCATATATAGCCGAAGTAGCAGAAGTGACATAAGTACCATAAGTACCATAAGTAACATTTCTGTTACTTTTCGCGTGACCTTGGATCGGGTAAGGATCGTCACCCCGATTCGGGCACCCGTGACCCCAAGAATCGGGCTCACGATGTACACGTGCATTCGGATATGTGATTACAGAGTATAATTTGAATACAAAAAATGTAAATATGAGTGATGTCGTGTTTGCGATAACAAAAATTGGTAACCTTATGCAAATTAATTTGTGTATTTTCTGATATTTTGCATTTTTCATTTTTTTTTGTAGAATTTTTTATTGGGTTGATGGAATGATAATTGCTGATCGTCAAAGACTAGCAAAATAATTTTATTACATGATGTCTTGCAACTTTTGTTTGATTAGCTAATGCAGTCAACTGCCTATAGTGTATATCAAATGCTTCACAATATATTAATGAGATGCTAAATCAGTTCTCGCTTGTACGTTACTTAGACTATTTGCTAATTCTATATTTGCTTTCGTTCCTGGTTTTAGCGCGACTACGTCGCGCAGTTACCTTATTTTTTAACTTTTTATTTTATTGATTATACTCAAATGCTAAATTTTTTTAGCACTATTTTATTTGCATATATACATCAGGAAGGAAATTTTTTATTCTACGGGCTTTGTACCTAACTGTCCTAGTGTTACTAACCTAAAAAATTTCGCCAAAAAAATTTCCCTGCTAGATTAGGGTTAGGTCTTTCTATTAATTTAGGTTAGAATGAATTTTTTTTAACACCAAAATTTCACAAGAAAAACATTTTGTTAATGCGCAAAAGGTGAGTTCATACGTAAAATGTTGAGTTATGAACAATTTATTGATTTTTTGCGAAACAACTGATCTTGAAATCTATTGGAGTTGCCTAACCCCAACTTCAGCTTGAGCATTAGGCCAAATGATCGACAAAACGTATTTATTGTTACACATTGTTTTCTGTCACCAAATTTCGTATGCACGTACTATTATCTTTTTGCCTTTAACCTTTTAACTAAAAGAAAAAGTTTCATTACTTTCAAAATCAAAATAAACACGTTACCAAACGAATGCCTTCTTGAAATCTTCAACAACCTTCAAGATCATAGAAGTTCATATTCATGTATTTTCGTAAACCATCTCTGGTGTAAAATTATTATACCGATATTGTGGAGCAACCCACTTGATCATTTCGATAATAGAAAGTTAAAAATATGTCTTTCAGCATTAAATGCTAAGGAACAATCTCGATTAATTCCCTTCAAGATATTTTTCCAAAAATTCCCAAACCATTATTTGAGTATCCAACTTACGCTAGATCTGTTGATGGTTTTAATTTGACTTTTGAAATTAAAAATTGGCTCATAGATGAAGGATTTACGAATGGATCTCGTCACTCAATTTCTGATGACGATGAAGAATATCTTCCAGTAATGGCTGTAGTATGTTCTTTAATCGAAATGTTTTTAAGAACAAGTGGAAAAATTAACTCATTAAGATTTTACGGTACTATCTACGATAAAACGATATTTAATGTTTACGAAAATTCTACTATTACTTCTGTAGATTTTTGGGTAAAAGGATTTAATTCAGAGGCAACAGAAATATTAGTGGAGATTATTCGTAAAAATCCCATAACTTCTTTAAATCTTGCTCATAATGATATTAGTTCTGATGAATGGAAAATAATAGCAGAAGTTTTACATCAGAATACTACTATAACTTCTCTGGATGTTTCCCATAATCAACTTGATTTTATTAGAAGCGAAGTGTTATTTAAGGCTCAGTATGAACTCTACTCTTATGTCTTTAAATTTGTTCTATAATGATCTTGATGCTAAGTGTTCTGAAATGTTAGCAAAAGTTCTTCATAAAAACGTTGGTTTAACTACTTTGGATCTTGGTTATAATACTATTGGTCCTGTAGAGATTAGTGCATTGATGAAAGCTCTTCACACAAATACCACTCTGGCATCTTTGGTTCTTCCTTTATCACTTGACATCAACGGAATAAAATCTTTAGCCGAAGCTCTCTGTATAAACAATACTTTGACTTGCTTATACGTTGACGGTAATCATTTCGGTTTTGAGATGGCTGAATTATTAGCAGAGGTACTTTATGTAAATACATCTTTAGAAGAATTATGTATGTTTGAAAATCATATCGAATCTAGAGGGGCAAAGGCACTGGCAAAAGCTCACCATAAAAACAACATTCTGCAACTTTAGAAATCGCTGATAACTTTATTGGCTTTGAAGGTGGAGAAGCACTTGCGGGGGCACTTTGCGTAAACACTACTTTAATTAAACTAGACCTTGGACAAAACCAACTTGGTTCTGAGGGTGCTGTAGCATTAGCAAAAGCACTTTGTGAAAATAACACCTTAAATACTTTAATTCTTACCGAAAATCGGATTCAGTCTGAAGGGATAAAAGCATTATCAAAGTCACTTCATAAAAACATGACTTTAACATATTTGAACCTTTCTTCTAATCAACTTAACTCTGAAGATGGAAAAGCATTAGCCGAAGTTCTTTACGTAAACACAACTCTGACTCAATTAAATCTCGATTACAATCATCTTGAATCCGAGGGTGCTAAAGTATTAGTGGAGGCACTTTGTAAAAATCAGATTGATTCTAGGGTGTAAAAGCATTTTTTATACAAACACTACTTTAGCTTATTTATACCTTTCTTCGATCAATTTCAATACCGGCAACTGTTCGTCTAAATTAGATATATGAAAATTGATTGACCTTACAATTTTAGATTCTAGAACGCCTGATGAAGTTTTTGATTCAATATAATAGATTCAACAAATCGATATATATCGATATAATTTAAGACCAGATGAATATAGCATTTTTAATATAAACTTTGAGGACCTAGTTTTAAACACTTAGGTGTTAGTAGATCTTCTATAAGTCAGACTTTATAGATGTGGATTTATTGAAAAAAATCATTACTTTTTTCAAAAAAACTCATGTTTTTGAATTTATTAAATCTTAACTTGAGTACAAATTGACAATTTCTTGATAATACCTATTTGTGTAATATATTTATTATAAAAGTCTAGTTTATATCCGGTATATTTTTATAATATTGACTGACAATTTTTTCCATATTTTCATACAAACTAAACATGTCAAATATATCAGATAAAAATTCAAACAATAATAATATTGACTGTGTATCGATATTATAATGATAAAACTATCGTATAACTGATCACGTCGAAATTATAATTTATCAAATCAACCAAATAATCACTTGGTTAATTTTTTATCAGGTGTCTCAGAATTTATGATAAAAGCTATAATTTGTCAGCTATAATGTGGCAAATGAAAGTATAATATGCTTCCAGAATTTATATCTATTATATTCTGAAATTGAAATAATCTTAGCACATCATTTATCATTTTTCAAATTAACAAACATCTTTTTGTAATAATAGCAAAAAAAAATAAAATAAAAACTATAATACTATACATTTGCCTTGTTCTGGTGGGTTGACAGACCAATTTTTAATAGATATATTGGCTCCTTTTAGTAGTTCAGGCTTCTCATTACTATAATATATTGATCCTAATATAATAATACAGATGCTTATTTTATTGTGTATAATCTAAATGCATATTATATTACTGCATTGCTGAAAAAAGTCCGAGCTGCTGACAAAAGCCATTTACTGTGACAGATTAAAATAATATGAATATACAGGCCACCGAAAAATACAAATTTTTTGGATGCTTTTTTTTTTTAGGATCATATATTTATAATAAGTATGAGTTTTAGAAGTTAAATAGAAACCCAAATCTTCATTTTTAGTCTGATTTCATTGGTTTGCGACGTTTACTTTCCAATATTTATTCTTCAACTTCATTTATAGCAAAAAAAAAAAAAATACTACTACACAAAATAGAATAACTATCAAAAATATGATAACAATGATAACTTTATCGACATTTAATTCTATTTTTTGGTGCAGACTTATTTATGTCACTAGTTACTTTTTATTTATAAACCAATTTTTTATATATAGAACATAACTAGGTGATGTCATAAACCTTCGTCTACCGCTACATATAACCCACATGATAAATAAATCAAAAAGGAATAGTAATTATATGATATAAAAACGCGAAATTGGATTTATCCATCTTTTCATAATTCAACTTGATTTCCAATTAAGTTTTTGAACATACATTAATAACAGATAACTAAGTTCAATATGTATTTGCATAGTAAATTTATATTTTTATTATATTTTTATTATATTTTTATTATATTTTTATTATATTTTTATTATATTTTTATTATATTTTTATTATATTTTTA